TGGCAGCACAGTATCATGCCTTTGCTGCCTAAAGTGGCAAGAAAGGCTTAATAGTTGCACACACAAAGAGGAGAGACTCCGTTCCAGTATAGAAGCTATCATCTGCTTCCTCAGTTTCTCACAGTACTAGACCAGAACATTATGATCAGACAGGGACAGGCACAGAGTGATCCTCTCTGCTCTGACAACCTAAATCAGAGTGATGTTTTTTCCAGCACATGACACAGATTTCAGTAAAGTAGGTCTTCTTTCCTATCACTGACCCAGTACACTGATTTATTTTTCTTCCTCCAGAGTTCATGCTTAAAATAACTTTGAAGAAGAAGCACTAGTTTTCAGGTTAATGTCTTGCCCGCATTGGTTAATAGCATTTAGGAAACATGGTCCTTGATTGTAATTTGAGAGGTGACAGTCAGACATGCAGCATGTTTTCTCAGGTGAAATTTGAATGTGTGGTACAATCCTCTGAAATGTACCTGATGTGTGCGATGCATTTCTATCACAGTACAATAATCACCTTTATTTGGCCAAGTATGTTACACACAAGGAATCTGTTACAGAACCGATGGCCGCCATCTGTGGTGCCAACTCAACCGATGGCTCTAAACATCGGGGGCAACTTGGGGGGTCAGTGTCTTGCCCAAGGACACTTCAACTGCAGGCACCGAGATTCAAACCTCCGACCCTCCGGTTGGGAGATAACTGTTCTACCCACTGAACCGCAGTCACCCTGATAAACTGGACAGATGCTTTTTAAAAAGCATCTTTGTTCTGCTTTGCTCTCTGTGGCATCTGGGTTTTTCTCACATGGACTATTTTTACACCGTTTTATCTCACATTTTGTGCTGAAGATAATTTCATTAAAGCCACAAACATCACCCAATGACTGATCGCCTCGTATGAATGCATAAAGCATCAGACACAAATAGCTGCCAGTTTCCACAAGTACCACTTTCCTGGACATTAAAAAGGTAATTTCTTATTCAGTGAATGTGGAAAGGATAACTACTCTCAGGTGTGAAACCGTCTGATGCTTTTTACACTTCAGCTCTTGTATGGATTAAACATGGCATTTATTTGTTAGACACTAGCAGGCGAGCTATTCCCAGTATAAGCTAAACTAACCATTTTCTGGCTATGGCAGCATGTAACAGATAGTTGTGTGTCCTCTCTAGCTCTTGTGAAGACAGTGCAGAAGTCTCAAACTTATTCTCAAATTGCAGTGTTATGGGGAAATGGGATAGTTTTTTCTAGCTGCAGTAGTTCACCAGAACCTCATTACTAAGCTTGCACAAATTCAGAAAATTGGATCAGTTTGTGTCTTCTAGGCAGCATCTCCAGTGGTTACATAAAAGAATCTGTGCCAGAGAAAAGGAAGCTCTCTTGAAAAATACCTTTAACACCATTCGCTTCTCCTCAGCCTGCTACTTTCCAATTACTATGGTTAAAGCTCGATTTCATTCTGAGTTAGTGGAGAATAGCTTTCTGCAGTAAGGGGAGAAATTTCACTGGCCATTAGAGACAGAGCAAATACATCATGATCAAAACAGTGCTCGTCCAGGCTGTGTGCAACTGAGGCTGAGCTCTTTCCTCATCA